ACTGGGTGTTCCATTTTGGGCCAGGTTAGGTATAGTTAAAGGAAACTTTTCGTGTTCTCAGTGATAGAGAACTGGGGGAGAACCTTCTCTCCTGGTCACTGCTGCTCTCTCCCATGTTCTCCAAGGTGAAGATCTGGGGATGTTTACTTACACACATCTGCCTCCATAATAGCTGTTTTCATGTGTTTTTCCTTAATTTCAGGAGGCAAGCAGAGTTTCCTAGCAGTAGTCTTATTTTAGACCATCTTCAGTTACTTTGTAAAGAAGCCTGGCTGTACAGACATAGCAACAGACGCAATTCTGAGCGCACACTGTTCTGCCTTGCTGCAAGCTAAAAAGGTGTATCTTAAAAAGGCACAGAAACAGCACCAAGAACGTGGGCTTTTTTCCTTGTTGTTTTTAAGACTGGACAAAATGTGTTTTCCACTTCAGTGGAAATCTGTTTTATAATAGACACTAGTCTATAAAACAGGGTCTGGGAGTGTAAATGAAGAAGTACAGAGACTACAAATGCATTTTAATTTAGCTTTAAAAAAAAAGTAAGGACTCAAGGCTCTGTTTTTGAAGGGAAAGATTTCCAGCTCTTTACAAGGCCATGGGAGGGGTAATTTTTGGATAAATATGTTTGTTTTAAAAAAAAAAATCATTTTAGACAACCCCTATTTTATTTATTGCGTATAGCTTAGAGATACTATATACAGATTAAAATACATCTTTTCAGTGTCATGTTTCATTTACAACATTACAACCAAAATACAGTCTGATAATATGATACAAAAAATCCATAAGCTTATTTTTTTTAAAAAAAACAACCCCCAAGCAAACTATACTGACTAAACAAAAAAGGTCTTTCACCTTGGACATTTGTTACTAGCATGTGGAGAGATCTAGAAATGAGTTGTTACAGCAGTTCCAAAAGTCTCCAGACATGTAGAAAGTAAGATTAATCCAAATTTTGTTTAGATTACCAGATATTATAGGCATTCTTTGGTTTTCTAAATCACAGACCATAGAATATAATCCACTATCTCCTGGATCGAGCAGAAGACTAGTATTTTTGGCTGAAGTATTTTTCCCTGAAATATTTTTTAAATCTGAAAATAACCTTTAAAGTTTCAAAAGAAAAAGACTTGATTCTATCACCTGAATATGTCTATGGTTGTATGTTTCTTTACTAATATATATAGACATGCACATACATATGTCATAAAATTGTCACGATTACAACAGGTTGCAGAACACAGAAGCCCAAGTCAACAACAGGAAAGTATCAAACTCACAGCCAGAGAAGCCCAGAGTGGCAGCCCCATGTGAGGCTTTTATTTAATTTATATTTTAAGCCCATATTCTGGTTTATAGTGTCCAAAATGAGCTTGCTGCCTTGGTGCTGTGCTGCTGGCGGTGACGGAGCGCACTTGGGATGCTCCCGACCTTTCCAAGCGCCGTCTGCTCAGACGGAATCACCAGCCCCAAGACAAGTGTTTATCAGAAATCACTTCATCCTAATTGATCTCTTTCTGACACGCTTTAGTAGCTTATGTTTCAGACCGGAGAACTATCATTACTAGGCATTAGTCGTCAAGGTAACCACACAGCTGTCCTTTGGAAAAAAGAACCTGCAGCACTTGAGTGATGACAAAATTATAGGAGAATCATTTCTAAACAGCCATGTTCAGAGTTTTGACTGAAACAAAAAGAAGCCTTGATCAAAAAAAGAGAAAAATCACCAACAGCTGCATTCTTTTGCTTCATTAGTAAATTTAGGTTTGTTTTGTTTATAGTGAATGAAGAGGTGCTAAGATCATACAAAATCACTAGTGCAGGCAATTTTCCTTCTTTTCAAGCATGTCTTCTTCCTGACATAATTACAGCTAATGATTTCTTGCATTCTGCATCTGCAGTAATGATGATTTCATCCTTGTTTTAAATCACTGCCTCTTTGCTATTCCTTTGGAAATGTGGCTGGCAGCTCCAGGGGGGCAGAAAGTTAAGGGGCCAATGATGCCTATTCATCTGAATGTCCATGAAAATTTTGACAGGAATAATAAGTAATAGGACAAAGTACAGCATTCATTGTGTTATACAATGCTAAATGCCTAGTAAGCAACCCCCCTAGTGTTAGTCATAAAGCTAAAGCCTGTTTACAGTTTCCATTTTTGCTCCAAATCTCTACTTATTCCCATCAACATTCAGTTCAAATTTTAACATCTGTTGGAAAATCTGCCTGCCTATTGCTTGTCTCAATGGAGGCAAAGGAGGCTTTGCTTTGGCTTGTATTGCTCCTGCTACTGAGGAACACCTTATTCCTTGCAATGCCCTGGGCTTTTTGCCTTGTATGGCCCTGGCCTATCCCCCTGTGGCTCTCAAGGGCACTTGGAAACGACTGCAAACGGACTGGCTCTTTTTGGGCCTTCCTCCAGAAAGTCAATACCTAGATTGAAAGCTTTCTGAAATAAAAACATGTTAGAGGCACGTACAGCTCAGTACATGGGAGATGGTGAAAGCACTGAATGCAAAATTGACCCGAATTTGACCAGCTGGATCTGAGGCAGTTCCTCCGGAAACACTTTGCTAGAAATGATGGGGCCTGTTCTGCGGCTCACGGCAGCGTGGGAGGGTGGGCGCAAACAGAACTGCGCTGCCCTCCCGCGCACGCACAGAGCCTGGACGTGCTTTACCCGCACACTGCGGCGAGGAGGCAGCTGAGAGCAGCACTGCTGAAAATTAAGGATTTAGCCGTTAAGATTTTAACTTAGCACTTAGCAAGCAAAGGAGTAAAACCTTGGAAGCAGTTTTGGTGAATTGCAGGAAAGGAGGGGTCTATAAACAGCAAAATCCAAATATGCAAAGTTGTTGCTGGAATTTTAAGGAATAAGGTGTCTGTTGGAGCAGTTAGGCCCTGGAGCACCCTCCTAAAGAAAGCAGTGCTGAGGGCATTCTGGAAACTGCTCAAGGGCTAATTCTGCCTTTCCAGCTGGAAAAAAATACAGAATAAGGGATATCCCACCAAGGTAAACTAGGGCTAAGTGCTGGATGATGATCTTGGAATATCCCTTTTCCAATACATTTTTTTATTATTATTTTTTAATATTTTCTTCCTTCTCATCTATACTGTGAAAATTCTTCTGTTCCTCCATTGTATATAGAATATTTCATACTGCTTTCTCCTCCTTTTGGCCTCGTGGTGCTGTGTACAGCCTGCATGCAATTTTGCTAGCTTCTGTTGCAGCAGTTGCCCGTGTGAATGTAATAATAACTGCTGCCACAATCGCAATGCCGTGGATTTCTAGCAAAGAAACGATGTGATAACTGTCACTTCACTGCTTAAATATGGGGAATAGTGTTTCAAATATAATACGGTGTTCCCTAAAGGATGTGCTATGCAGGGACAAACTCCCAGTTTATTAATTGCCTAAGCCCTGCCAGCTTACAGACACTTCATTTACACACTCTGCTTGAAGCCTGGCCTTTCTGAGAAGCAATTTTGGGGCGATTTCCATGTTTTAATGTTGCTCCTGTTCCTTGGTGTTAATTGGCTCGGCGCGCGTGCCCAGTGTCGCGGGGGGACGCAGGTGATGCTGCAGGAAAGCCTTGGGGCTGCGGCCGCCCCGGGGGCGGTGGTGGCAGCAGTGGCAGCAGCAGGGCTCGAGGTTTACCCGGAACGCGTTAGCTCCGCAGGCGCTGAGCTGCCATCGCAAGAGCAATTGATATTCTGAAAGGCAGGGGGAACTGCGGCGGCACTGGCTGCTGGTGCTGTTAGAGGCCTCATACAGCCCCCCTGTGGCCACTGCTTTGTGAAGCAATTGGGCTGTCAAAAACCACTTCGGAATAGCCCTTGTTTTGTGAAAAATGCTTCCTGCCTCGAAACGCCGGCTACGGCCGGGTTGCACTTGAGAAAGCTGCCAAGAACACCAGCAGCCTGCGGTGGTAACGCACGTTGCAGTTATCGGGTTGCAGGGTGGGATGTGGGGTGCCCGTCCTCGCAGGAGCCTGCAGGGACGATGCTGCGGGGTGGCACTGGCGCTCTGCCTGCAGGGACAGTGCTGCCTGGTGGCATTGCATCGGTGCGTACAGGAGCAAGGCCTGTGTTCGCCACCCTGCCTGCCGCTCCGCACTGCTGCAGGAGCTTCTCGGGAAAAGCTGCTTCTCTCCTTCATTCCTGCCTGCCCCCACATTCCGTAACTGCCCTGGTCCCCTCAGCTACCCAGGTCAGCTCATGCCCGCTCGCGTAGCGGCACTTGCTGCGACGTTACTTTGTGATTCTAGGCACAAATGGCCAAAGTCTGGCACTGCCCTGGGCCTCGCTGTGCATTTTGCTCCAAGACACTTTCTCTCTTTAGAGGCTTCTGCTGCAACTTTATTTCAGGTCAGGCGG